AGGAGGAGAACGCTCCCAGTTGTTAATTTGAATACCGCTTGGCGCAACACTACACATGTGAAAATGTCAATTCGAGGCTCGAACCTGCTGGCCGTCCCTTGAATTGATCGCGGGGGGGTTGGAGGTTCGCTCCGAGAGAGAATGATGTAAAACCTGGGTGCAATAATAATGCAAAAATGCAAAATATAGACTTGATTGTATTTTGATCGAACACCGTATATTCTTGTTGAAAAAGACCTGGGTCTGAGGTGAGTTCGATAGGTGCCGTTGCTAGCGGAGGGCCCCGAAATCTACGCCTGCAACGGGGACTGCAGTCCTCCACCTGTCGAAGTAAGCATATGTCCTATCTGTCTCCTACACCGCCGATTTCGGGTCGGTATTAATAGTAAGACCACAACGGGAGCCTTGCATAGAGTTTCGAGACGCCTCATTGTGAGGGAGAAGATCGAAGGACCTTGCTTCTAGTAATTCTAAGCAACCGAAGCATTCGAGGGCGGCGTTGCGATTCTGATAATGGCGTCGGTCCCATGTGCCCGCAATCGGTATCTCCAAGTAAAGTAATTCACTATAGCTACCGAATCTGATCATTGGGTTGAGGTGGTTGCCCCTGGAGGCGCTACTTGCCACTCCTCGGCCCTGGAAGCCTTTTCTCGACACCACGAGAGCGACAATCGACGTCCCAAAGTACTGGCAAGGGTTTGTGGGTGGAACTGCTGGGCTTGTGCGAAGAATTCGCCCCAGATTTTCGCTGATGCCTTGACGGCGTCAACAAGAATAGTCTAATCTGACAGGACAATGAAACTCGATAGAGGTAAAGCAGCCGTGAATAGGATAGACTGGTGGCAGGCGCTCACGATCTTCATGTGATAGGGAGGAGAACAGGAGCAGTATTACGACATGGGCATTGATGGTTGTCACTGGCGCTCGAGTAGAATCGACCCTTGGGGCGAATTTCATGTATTGGAAAATGCCTGTCGTGTAGTCTAACCCCCCCTTGCCGCATTTGCGCTAGTCAGGAGCTGCCCATGGATGACTTCGTGCATCTCGGCATCTTCTCAGATGCCTCGTTCGAGGCCTCGAAAAGTTAAATCGTGATTTCCGTGGATGTTGGGAAGTGCTCGCCTGGCGTTTCTCAGTGATCTGTCGAGATATCTCCGACGTGGGGGTCTTACCCTTGCTGTCAGGTTTTCCCGGTCATTTCGTTTTTTGCATTGAGGTCCAATGAAAATGCTCAGGAGGGCTCCATGAACCAAGAGGGGCGAAGTTTGAAACGATCGTTCATCTTCTGTCAGGGCTTTTATGATAAAAACCCCCCTATGTAGTCTTTACTGTCAGACCGGAACCAGGGTAAACTATCTTCCTCCCCTCCCCGTCTTCAGTGTGGCACCTACCCGTCTTCCTTGATCTCTACTACCCGTCACTTGGCCCGGTCAAGCCACAATCAAACAGTCCACTTATTAATCTTGAGAGTCTACTCTCTTAGTGTATCGTCAAATGGCAGCAACACCTGAAGCTTCGACGTACCCAGTGGTCAGCCGACATGATAGGCTGCTCAATATGGGCCCATGGCTCGGTGGGTGTGATCTCCCTGGGCTAGATCCCAGATCTAGTTCGTATTACCCTTCGTTTGCTGACTCGAATGTCTAGTTGGCGCAGAGCTGGACTTTCTTCTCCAAGGGATCCTGTGGGTCATGGTAGGTGCAGACGCTGTTGGTCGAAGACACGACCCTTGACGATCTCTTTTGCTTTTCACAGAGTGCAAGATACTTTCGCCAGCACAAGAATGATAAACGCGTGTATTATTATTTCGTGATCTTTATCAATGTCGTCAGTTTGTACGTTCTGTGCGCTACACGCTCCCCCACATCCTGCTGACCGCAGCTCCTCCATGTTTTAGTGGGAAAACCGTACAATCGTTCCTCATCGTGTGGGACAAGTTCATCACAAAGTTCGGTCACTACATGTCCCTGGTGGAGGATAACCCGACTTGGCAAGCTACCGAGCCGTTGACCACCTCCATCGTTGGCGCTTGTGTGCAGGCGTTTTTCATCTATCGCCTGTACAAACTCCTCGGTAGGGTCTGGCCACTCTACCTCGTCATCCTTGGGTGCTCTATGATGGGCGTCGGGGGTGCTATCTGGTTGGTATGTATCCTATCCCTTGATTCTCCCATCCCCTGTCCCTACCCCTCGCCGTTTGGCTTCTTCCTCGGCACAACTTGACAAGAGTCCAATGTTGACGTGATTCTCCCGACAGACCGTTTTGATATACAATCCTGTACGTACACAAACTTTTACTCCGCTTCTTGTGATTCTGGTCCAGAAGTGATGGGACGTTGACGACGAATTCGTTTCTCCAGCCTGCCTTGACGAGCCCCCCTACTGCATTCATTCACTATGGAGAACTTGCCAACCAGGCCGTAACACTCATGTTGGCGGGGGTTTTTGGTTCGTTTCTCTTCCTCGAATCTCGTACACATGCTCACGTGGTTCTATACAGTTGCCGACTTTTTCATTACCGGCTCCAGTTAGTACTCAGATTGGCTCGCCTTAACCCCTGGTCCCTTACCAATGACTTTCGAACAGTGATATTCCACTTGTTGCACTCCAAGGGTGGATTTGAGTCGACTGATGGTCTCATCGACCGATTGGTCCAAATCACCTGGACCAGTGCTCTTCCTCCGACAGTGTGGTACGTGTGGTTCTCGACACCCAATGTCACCTTATCGCTCAATAAAAATTCCTTATACAGCGCTGTCTTCAACTTGGGATTCTACGTCGGTCAGGCCAATACGAGCGTCGTCCATCTTGCGTACGTATCCACCCCTTGCCTTCTCCCCCCTTTGCATCGACCGAAGAACTGTTTACTGATGCGTTCCTGGCTCACTCAGATTGAATATGGCCTTGTCCAAATTGTATGCCATCTCGGCGGTATATACACTCAATGCCCGCGATGACCTCCGCAACTGGTGGGGTGCCGCACGGAGTTACGACATCTCTCGACAGACCGGTAGCGGCTCACGACCTCAACATTCATCAAAGGTAAGAGATAATACACACCGCGGATATCCATGATACTAAACCCATCATCTCCCCCTTACTAGGACGACCCTCATCGTTCGATCGCCATGAAGATTCACCACCCAAGATACCCCTCGCAACCCCAGACCACCACCATTGAGATCCGAAAGGAGACCAGGGTAGACGGTGACCCGTCTATGGATATGTCGCCTATCAAGTCAAAGGTTCCCTATGACGTGAGTTTCAACTACCTTTGACATCCTTTCCTCTTACTGATTGTGCATGAGCGCAGAATGGGTCGGACATCGAGTACGGGCCACGAATATAGTACAGCTGGCTCGACGCCACCTTCCTCTACACTCCCGGATGCTAAAGCTATTGCTCCTAATGCACAATCTTCA